TCCCCCCCCCCCCCCCCCCCAATTATCGATTCTCCGGCGCCTCTGATCTGTCATCTCCTAAGACCGGGTCATATAGTAATTAAGAGACAAGATCAATTCACTTTATCTTTAATGGGTCCTGGATTTAATCATGCAATGATTCGAGTGAACCTTATATTTGAACGAAAGTACACATTTTGTAATAAGGTTAAGGGTAATATAAGGGTTGTACTTTAATAAACAGTGTACATAGTCATCACTTTCAAATTACGTAGCTTAATTTGCTTTACGATAGTTTTCTGCTAACTTCATTATAGCACATGTAGTAACCACTATAGTGAACCACTGGGTATATGACTCGTACATGCTTTAGGGATGTTTCTGAGATTACTGGAGCACCAGAAATGCTTGGTGGAAGAGTGAAAACTTTACATCCAGCGGTGCATGCAGGTAAATGGATAAATTGTATAATTATAACAAGTCTTAGGTTGCATGCGTCCAAAAAAGTGGGTGTCCATGACTTGATAATCGTCGATAAACTTTTCTACCAGAATTTTGAAAGGAGTGTTGCCACCTCGTGGTACCCAGAGTCTTTCCTCGTTTTTCCTCTTGAGGAGAAAAGACCCTGGTAGACGCTGGTCACGTGATCTGCTTAAATCTATCAGATTTCTAATGAACTATCTTGGATTCCTTTACGACAATCGTACAAAATACAAATTATAAATAAATTAAACTATAAAAATCAGCCAAATATCAAATATTTATTGACCTCATCTTGGATTGCTAATTAAAAATCTGCTAGATTTTAGCAGATCACGTGACCAGCGTCTACCAGGGTCGTTTCTCCTCTCCCCAAGAGGAAATACCCTGGGTACGAGGTTGGGAGTGTTGCTGGATCACCATGCGTTGAAATCAACTTTTGTTGCAATTGTAGCAGTTTTGCTCCTCGTGTTGCTTCACCTTTACTCAAGCCTGTTTTTAAGAAAACTTGGATATTTTTCTAGGCATTCTTGCACGGTTGACTAAAGAAGACGAAGAGGATATGAAGAAACAAAACTTTCAATATATCAGGTTTGCGGTAAAATAAAGTTCAGCATACTGTAGTGATTTATTTAAACATTTTAAAGTTGGTCGTTGATTGGTATATATCCCATGGCCATGCAGATTTAAAGTATAGTATTTATATACTAACATTTTCCTATTCGTTGTGGCGTCCATATCTGTAGTTTTGACAGCTGTTTAGGTATTTTTAGATAAAAATTAAAAACCAGACATAGTATAATAAACCACGCTGCGAATATAAAACGATACCAAACTTCGTTTTGGCACCGCAACCAATTTATAGCTAGCTCCATCCCGCCTTCGCACCGATAATTATATCTTGTGTTCCAAAGCTAACAAAAGACAATTTAAAACACCTTCCTGTGTTTTGTAACCACCACCATGGTGTGTTTTCTAACACATGGTCTGCTTAGTGTGTAAATATTACAAGAAAGGTATGTAAACATTACACACCTTTGTGTCTTATTGACACACCTCTGTATGTAATTAAACATACCGCGGTGTGTAATTTAACACTCTGATACCTATCTAACACAGACACTTTTAATACTCTGTTCTTCGGTTTCCGTACTGTAGAGGTCTAACTGTACCAGCTATCACGTTATTTCAAATTTCTCTTCTGAAGCTTTAAATAATTCAATAGCGTGTCCCAGAATAATATAAGAAATATTATTTAATTCTAGTGTGGTCGTTAATAACTTATATCCGTTTGAAGATACGATATCAAAGGATGGCGTATCAGTGTCAGACGCTGTTGAACAAATCGACATTGGTAGGTGCGAAGTTATAAAATTCAAATGATATATTCAAACATCGAAGTAAGTGTGTCGTTTCCAATTCCATGCCCCAGCTGCAAGGAAAGATTATTGGATCCCTTAAATGACTTCTTTACTTTATGTTTGTGATGTTACTCTGAGTGTGTATCCACACCGGGCAAGCTTGAAAAATATGCCTGGCCACGGTGGGAATCGAACCTACGACCTTTGGAATACTAGCCCAATGCTCTGCCAACTGAGCTACGCGGTCAGGTCGGTTCGAGTATGTGATGTTCCGGAACTGTGTCTAGTTCCTTCGACAGCAATGTAATCTAGTAATATGATTTTTTGTACTTCTTTACTTGTAGGTGGTGTAACGTTGCTAAGAGCTGCTGCTAAGAATCATGCGAGAGTCACCGTAGTTTGTGATCCTTGTGATTATGATAGGTAATGTCTCTAATGCGGAGTCATCCTTACACCCATTTTCAAAATTACGCGACCTCCCTGAAAAATACTCTTACTTCAAATGTCAGTTTTATGTCACAAAGACTTCTAAAAATAGCAAACGTAAACAAACTGTCAAAAGACATTTTAAACCGTATTTAATACCAAAACTGAACAAAAATGAGTTAGATAACTTAGCTATACAAACTAAAGCACAATACAAACCATCACAACAGAAATATGTGCCGTGAATAACTTTTAAAGTTGAAAAATAACAATTTATCCTGGAATTTAGCTGTCAGTATAAAACACGCGCGGTAGACTATAACGGTGATGTTATGATTTTGTTTGTGCTTAAATTTTACAATAATTCTCACTAAAATATCTTGAAAATCATTGTAAGCCTGTGTATATATAGCATACAAAGCATATACATCGCCAAGGAACCGCAAAACTCAAAGTTTAATCTTCGTGACCGAATGACATAAAACTGACATGTCAACTATAGCATTTTCGTCCTTGGTCGCGTAATTTTGAAAACGGGTGTAAAGATACACTGAAATTATTTGCTGTCTTGTTTAGTTGTTTCATATACGCAAAGGCCATCGAGTTTTAAATCTACTACAAAATCAATATTTAAAACAAACTTGCCTTCGTTAACGTCGGCTCCCTTCTTTCAGCCGATTCTTTCGCAGTTTCTTTTTAAGAGAGCTTTTGAAATTTACAATATCTTGCAAAAATGGGAGCAAAAATGAAATATATTTCCAAGAAATTTATCAATCATCAAATCAAGAAATGTTTGCTCTTTCGCTGTCGTCACGCAGTCGTTATAATGCAAACTTTAAATTGGACCAATCAGTGTCCGCTATTCGTGACAGTCCACCATATTTTTGAGATCAGTGAGGATGACCACCCACCCAACACCGTTGGTCACCCACGCCCGCGATAATTGATGAACTTTAGACTCCGCTAATGCTTTCGTTTTCCCGGCTGTAAATAGCCGAGGGAATTAGTACCCTCGCACGGCGCTTCGCGCCGTCGGCTCGGGGAAAATGTTTTTTTGGCCGAAGTTATAGACGAAATATATTTTAAATTGAATCTTACTGGATGTCAAATAACATAAACTACGTCATAGATTTTCAGAAACGGTGGATGAATCAGTCGCTAAGTATTGTTCTTCTAAAGTAGAATTGATACAAGTTCCAAATCATTCAGGGGTGCAACAGTTGGCCTTTTCAAACTTCTTATTTTTGGCTTCTGTGGAGCAGATCTAGATATCTCGACGTAACATCTAGATATCTCGACGTTTTGTAACACGTAATTCGTTGCTATAGCTACAAACTCCTGCGTAAATTGCTTCGATTAGTTTGAAATGAGCCAACGTAACCTTTTCTGCATGTGAGTCATTATACTTAGAACATACACTGACAATTATTGGAAAAAATATCATTCCATCAAAACACAAATATGTAATTTCAATCTTCAATAACATTTTTGGTATAACAAAATTTTTATTTTTTATTTTTAACTGCCATTATAATACAGTGTGCGAGATTTGAACACAGGCCACAACGCCGAAAAATAATTAGATTTTGCGAATCTTCGTTCAAAAATTGGATTCTCTAAAGACGTAGTAAGCACACACAATGGCGCAAGAAGGAGTAGACAAGTGACCATGTTAAGTCATATTCGAAGTTTATTTAATTCCCATCTCCACGAAAACGAATAATCACGCGGGTTTGTTTACACTGCATAAAGTTTTGTTTTCACAATTCTTGTACAGGCCAGGGACTGTGAAGATTACTAATATCAGGGCACCTTAAACTTTTGACATTTTCACAATTTGTACAAATGATTTCGTGTTAGCATGCAAACCTCGATGTTTTCAATGACAAACATTTCATATTAAAGCAATGATTTGGAAGAATTATAGTTATTAGCGGCGATGGGTTGTGTATGCATCGAATTGAAGTTTTAAACGAATTTATTCGTGAATGTGAAACATGTAGCCGAGGATTTGGTTGAAAATTGCAAATAATTGCACATATATTTGACAGTATTGACGGTTTTGTTTTTATTGATTTCAGAAATATAATTAGTTGAACAATGATTGGAAACAATAGATTTTACAGTATTTAGATTTATTAGGAATATAGTTGTTTGTTTACAATGGGGGATTTTGTTCTTCGGAATAAGCGTAATCAACTGGTTCGGGGATGAAAGAAAAAAGTGGTTCACTTTCCCTTGGTTTCCGTGATGTGCCAAACACTTTCATCACCATTCCATTCTTTTTTCCATTTCCCATCGCTGTAAGCAATTTCAGATCCTTGAACTCTTGTTGTGAACGCATAAGTGGAAACGACCAGAACTTATAACGTTGGTATTCACCAATTAATACATAGTAAACTCGAGGCAGAGTATCTGATGTAATACTGGGGTTCCCGATGGGACGAAAGATTTCAAACTGATCCAGTTTCGTGCTTGCAATAGTCGGCGCTTCTGGCGCTGCCCTAATTACTTCGGCAAGTCTACTGAGTGCTTTGGGAACGTAATCTCTTCGTAGTGGATTAATCCATGAAATAGAATACCTTTAAAAGAAAACGTATTTTAAATTTGTTACATCTGTCATAAATCACGTGGAATTATTACAGGTACATAAAACAACGTGCGCAGAATACAGATTTTGCTAGTGCATGCATATGTATATTGAGAAAAATAAGTGGAAAACGGAGCTAAAGAGTCCCTCGAGAGATGGTGTGAAAATTGAGAAAGTTTAGAGTTTACTTCCAAAACTTTTTTTGCACTTACATTCAGATTAATATTTGTTGTTTGCCAGTCCTAGGGCCCGGTCACACTACACAACGATAACGATACGATAAATTGTAAACACGCGATAAGTGGCAAAAAAATGTGTTAGTGTCCACACAACAACGAAAATGATAAAATTAACGTTAGACGATAACAATAACGATTTTAAAATCGCTCACCTTGATTTTTTTTTCAGTCGGACGATAACGATAAATTTTTGACCAATCAGCGCGCGTATACAAGTTATCGTATCGTTATCGTTGTGTAATGTGACCTGGGCTTTATTCCGCGCATATATCAGGACGTGTTTTGAAATTTTCCTATTGACAAGGAAAACAGCCTCGTGCATGCGGCTCCGCCTATAATTGCCATTAAACTACGCAAAATATTAGCCTATAATGAACACGCTAAGTTCGCAGTCGCCCTAGAATTCAAACCCTTACCATCCATATCTTGTCCCAAAATTTGACATCGATGGCCACCAAATCGCCAAAACAAGCCTTCTTGAATTTTCTTGGTTTTCGTTAACTTTGTATGATAAAATAAACACAGGCGTTTTCAAAATTGTGTTCTTTGACGTAAGTGTGATGTCGTGTGACTTGCCCGGTTCCAATCTCCATGGTATGATATTTTGCACATGAATATCTTCATCCTGATACCTGCAAGTATAAGGGAAAATGGATAACGTGCAAACAGATTTTAGTTTGAACATCAAAGCCGATCCAAATGTCAATTAAGCACTCATGCGATTTGCAACTTATGGCACTGGCACTGGTTTATTAATCACGTTTCAATAGCAAAGTATATAGCTAAATTATTATGTGTTTACAGGATTATGAAGAATAAAATACAAAACTCTTATATATTAATTATAGACTAATATGAGTTAGTACTTTCATTACAATTATGTAAATAGTATATATAATTATAGTAAGGTATATAATAAAACTTAAAACACCATGCAATTGTACTAAAACTACGAGAAATACATGCATGCAGCAAACCTCGCCTATATTTTCCAAACATCGAATTAATATGAAGTATTTGGAAATGGCCAATACTGAACGCAGGCTCGTTCAAGTGTTGCCATAACAACACGATATTTTTAAATTTTCATTTTTTAAAAATATTTGTTGTACAAAACGGCAAATTAGTTGAAAGATTAGGACTTTTAGTTACACAACAATATATACTGTAGGTATGTTATTCTGCTTTTTGTAGGTTTGTTATTCTGCTTTTGATTTAATTTAAAATTTAACTTGAAACTCTTCTTTAAAAACAGTTTGAAATGTTCTGCATTCAACAATTAAAACTACATTTGCCGTAAACATAATAAGTTGTTTCGGTAATTTCAGTTCCGACTTCAAATCAATTTGTTCTCCTTTACATTTTAAGTTTTTTTCTTAAATTAAAAAGGATAATTTAGTTAGGAAACTTACAGTGTCGTTGGAAAGGAAAATAGTGTTTCCCCCGGTGTAAATAGTCGGGCGGAATTAGTACCCTCGCCCAGGGTTTACCCCCGGAACTGGCGCCGTTGGCTCGGGGATTACATTAATATGATATATATATATATATATATATATATATATATATATATATATATATATATATATATATATATATAGTAAAATCTAAAACACTAGTGTGCTAAAACCATTATAAACCTATATCAAATCATTCAGTTTATGGTTGCATTGTATTTATCGTCGCATATACCAAAGGATGACTCTTAAAACGTTCCGTTCTACAAGTAAAACTAGAAAATACATGCATGCAGAAACCCTCGCCTTACTGACAAAACATTACGTTGTTTTTTAATATGAAGAATTGAAAGTAGTTGTCATGGTAACACGATAATTTTAAGAACAGTTTTATTAAAATCGAAAAATCCCCCCCAAAATATCACTTTTAGTAACAAAATTATCAATTTCCCAAACATATAACTATGCTAGGTGTGTTATTATAGTACGTAATACCCACCGGGCACACGATGTTGTTTCAACGTTGAAATTTGGTAGAAAAAAGATTGCGACGTCGACAACCTAATATCTACGTTGCTCTGACGTTGTTTTACAAACATTGGTTCAACAGCAGCGTTAAATTAACGTTCATTCATGGTTAAATGTACGACGTCGATTTGTAAACCAATCTCAACGTTGTTTTAACGTGGATTCAACGTTAAATTATGGTTGACGAGATTGGCAACCTAATTTCAACGTTGTTTCAACGTCGAAACAGTAACGTCGATCCAATTTCCATAGTCAACCCTTTTTCATCGTCTATCCAACGTCTGGAAGGTCATTTCCAACGTTGATTCAACGTTGGATAAACGTCATTTTGCCCGCTGTGTATAAGCTTCAATTTAATGTAAAATTCAACCACAAACGCTTCGATAAAGGTTTTAAAATTTTCTTAAAACTATAAAACGGCCTGTTATCGAATTATCGGTAAACATTGAGTTTGGAATATAAAAATGATTTTAAATTCCCGCATGAAAATAACTTTGCTTTCCTCTTTATTTAAATACTTTGATATACAGAAGAAAGGGTAATTAATAAAACTACACTGAAATTATATGCTGTCTTTTTTTCACTTATGTACGCAATCATATAGTATCAGTTCGATATTCGCAGTATCGCCCACCACTATCTGAGTGAAACTAGAAGTTACTAACGCAAGGAAAGTGCTGCCTCGCTGCCAAAACTTTGAGTTAGGTTGTTCAAAATCTGTTTACAATCCGTGGATAATTAAAAACTAAATAACACTATAATGGAAACATAACACTATTATAATTTTTAAACAATGAAAATCGTATTTTATTGTAACAATCGCATGCATATATAGGCCTATGTTACAACAATGTTCTAGTTACCTAAAATTAAGAAAACAGTTCTCTGTAATGAAACAGGTCCATGTTCTGAGCACTCCAAACAATAGTGGCTTATATAAATTAAGTAATTATGGTTCATTCCACGGCTTATTACTCCGACAATATATGTATAATATGGCTCAAAAGGCTACCTCCACACATTTCCCTATTATGCGATTGTCACTAAGGTTAATTTGCGGATTGTGCAATATTCTTAGAAACAAAGTCAAGTGTGGTTACTTATAGAGTAATAACCTGGAATGACTCACAGCATAGTTAATAGAGGAGATGGTTTGGAAACTCGTTAACATTACAATAAAATCACAATAAACCTCATTATCTATGTTGTTCAGGTTTATGCAAAAATGTGGTCTTTCATCGTCACGTGTGCATTGTATTTTTCTCAAGTCAACCAATAAGAATGTTCAAAATGTCTTATTGTTAAAGTCATGGATGGGCAATTGGACAAAACCGTTGCTATTGGCTGGTTGAGCAAAAATACAATACGCACGTGACGATGAAAGACCACATTTTTGCATAAACCTGAACAAAAACATAGATAGTGAGGTTTATTGTAATGCTAATAAGTTTCCAAACCATCTCCTCAATTAACTATGCTCACAGTTAATAATACTATTAATAATGGATAAATATAATGCACAAGAGCCAAGGACTGTTAATACTAAATTAACAATAGAAACATAACATTATTATGTATACCATTACAACACTATTATATATACCATAACACTATTAATAATGGAGCACATAATACCATTATACAGGGTGTCCCCAAAAAAACAAAAACTATTGAAATCACTTATTGTTAAAATTCAATGCCCTACCAAAAAGCAGAACGTAATGATGCGTAAAATATTGACAAGGTACATATATTAAAATTTAGTTAAGAACATCTCCTTGTAAAGTGCGCGATTTTCTGCTCTTGGGAATTTAAAGCAGCTTCTTAAATAGTTCCTTTATGCATAAAATTTGCTTATGTCAATCATTTATGCACTCTTGGGAACAAACAACAGCGAACAACCAACAACGAACAACCAACAACCAACAACAACGAACAACAAACAACAACAACAACGAACAACCAACGAACAACCAACAACCAACAACGAACAACCAACAACAACAAACAACAACAACAACGAACAACAACAACGAACAACCAACAACGAACAACAACAACGAACAACAACAACGAACAACAACAACAACAACAACAACAACAACAACAACAACGAACAACCAACAGCGAACCAACAGCGTGCTTAGGCATTCAAATTCTAACAATTAAATTGTTATTGGTGATCGATGATTTCAATAGTTTTCGTTTTTTTGGGACACCCTGTATATCCTGTCTGTCTGTATAATGTTTTTTTACAAAGAACTATCAAAAAGCTACATATCTTGATAGCAGGTGAACTTATTAATGAACTTACGACACTATACAAGACTATACAACACTATACAATGTTATACAAGACTATACAACACTATATAAGGCTATACGATATTATACGACACTATACAGCGTTATACAAGACTATACGGCAAGCTGTTCCCAAATTGCCGCAGCAGGGTATGCAAAGTGATGCAGCAGGGTAACTATAGCTCTTTTTCATAAAGTTTGTTTCCGGCTTTTCAAGTGTATAGTTATTATCATTACTTCGCAAGTTATATCTATCATTATTTGCAATTTTGAACATGGTTGCTAAAGATGATGGCAGCGCGTCATTTCTTAGTTTATGCAAGAAGCTCGTCTTATTGTTTTTGTATCGATTTTAAAATTAAAGGGGTTTCCAGTTTAACTCTTTTAAAACGTTCTCAGAACTTACATCGTAGCCTATGTGCTACCAGTTATAATTCGCGCTGCTCTAATTTGTAGTTTTTGAAGTTTATCAATTAGATATTCACAACAGTTGCCCCATATCAAGCTACAATAATCAAAGTGTAACAACACAATGGCATTGTAGGTTCTAAATAATGTTGATTTGGGAACAAATTGTTTCATTCTTCGCATCATCCCTATTCCTTTTGAAACTTTCGTTACAGTATTTTGAATTTGGTCGATCCATGAAAGACGCTCGTCAATAATGACTCCTAAAGTGTTTTATTTATGAACACGTTTAATTTCTGACTCACCGAGTTCAATTTTAGGATACTTTATTTTATTTGATATACGTTGTCATGAACCGATAATCATATATTCAGTTTTTTGTTTGTTGAGTGTAAGTTTGTTTGCAAGTAGCCATTGATGCACATTTTCTAAGTCTGCGTTTAGGCGTTCTTGTATTTCATTGCCAGTATCACCGTGAGTTGAAATATTTGTGTCATCAGCAAACATGCTTGCTGAAGACAGACTCAGACAATTTGGTAGATCGAAACCATGCAGGTGTATGTCCTCTTGTTCCATAGATATGCATTTTCTTAATTAATATATGGTGGTCAACGCAGTCAAACGCTTTCTTGAGATCCAGAAAAATAACACCATTCAAACAACCCTTGTCCATATTCATTAACCATTGGTTTGTAATGTTTTAATTAAGTAGGGAGGTTTGTGTGGAATGAGTTTTTCTGAATCCTTCTTGCTGTTCCGTAAGTATGCCGTTAGATTCCAGATACGTCTCAAGTTTTTCGGTAATTCATTTCTCAAATATTTTAGAAACTGATAATTGAACAGAGATTAGGCGATAATTATCGCAATTTGTTTTACTTCCAGACTAACGAATGGGTTAAATGATTGCAGTTTTAAAGTTATCAGGAAATACCCCCGCATTTATAGATGCATTAAATATGGCTGTTAATGTGGGTGCTATAACTTCAGCCACATCTTTCAGAAGTTTACCGGATATTGGTCTGCTGACTTGGATGTTTTAATCGTCGAAAGCAATTTAAATACTTTTGTTAATGAGACGTTTTGAATATTAAATTTGTGGAATATCTTTAGCTAGGTTTGATGCTACCTCATTGAAATGCGCATTTAAGCTATTTGCGATCTCCTCTGGTTTTGTCACATTTTGGTTGTCATGCTGGATTTGGGATATTAAAAGTTGTTTTTGACTTTTTTCCTGTAAGTTTATTATAGGCCGTGGGCTGTTGCGCGAAAAAGTGCCTAGAAAAGCAATTTCGTGGCACACACATGGGAAATAGATTTTCCGTGGTTCAATTCATAGAACCATAGATGCTTAATTACCACAAAAAGTTCCCAAGCAAAAAACTTGCTCAACACCGAGAAAATGGGGTGATCAGTGATTATCCTGTATTAAATTGCATTACAGCAAGAAAATGTGAAATTTTGTATTCAATTACAAAAAAATGACTTGCATTATCAGAAAGCTTACAAAAACCTACATATACCACATTTAAAAAGTTTTTTTATATCTAAAATTGTTTTCGAGTTATACGTTGTCAAAAACGTGTTTTTGAGCTAGTACCCAGTTTTTATTGCGACATTTTGGTCCAATTTTCACATTAAAAACAGCAATAACTCAAAGACTAATTGAAAAATCAAAAAACTGTTTAAAAGTCTTATATGCAGTTTCTGGTACGTTTCCGCTGATGCAAGTCATTTTTATTGTAATTGAATTATAAAATCTCCCATTTTTTGCTGTAATATAGAGGATAATCTTTGATCACCCATTTTCTCGGGATTGGGCAACTTTTTGCTTGGGAACTTTTTTTGGTAGTGATGTACCTATGTGCCTTTCAAATAAACCTCAAACCAAGTATTTGCCACTGACATGGGTGCCAGGAAGCGAAATAATTTTGGCTAACAGCCCACGGCCTATTAATCGTTTTACACATTTCTTTGGGACTTTTTTCGCATTCATTCAGAGTGTTCCTAAAGTAAGTCGCTTTTGTATTTTTAATTAATCTGTTTAGATCGTTACGTGTTCGCTTATAGGCATCATGAAACTGTTTCGATCCTGTTTTAACTGCTTTTTTTCAAAAATCTCTTTGCTTCACAGCTTCCCTAATATTACTTGTGATCCATGGAGCGTACTCACTTCTAACCTTTTTGGTAGTCTCGGGAGCGTGAAATCCGTGATTGATAAAAATGTTGTTTTCCTTTTTTCCACATTATGTTTGTATATTTAGATCAAGCATGGTATCCCAAAATATTCCGTTGTGTAAATAAATAAAAATGTCTGATTTAAAGTTGTTCACGCAGTAATGCTTGAATTGTCTTCTTTTAATAACTTTTGGGTCATTACGAGGAACAGAAATTTTTCTTTAAATATAAATTAAACTATGGTCACTAATTCCCAGATGGATGATTCCTGAACCATTTATTAATTCTGGTTTATTTGTGAATGTGAAATTTTTCCAATCGATGTCCCAATTTGTAACTGATGGAAGTTGATTAATTTTTATAATGAAGCAATTGGACCTAATTTGATTCCCTGGGATACACACCCATTAATTTCCATTCGCTCAAGGATTATTCTAAGGTGCAGTGATAACAAATTTGTGCAGTGATAAATGTGATTTGTGCAGTGATAAATTAGATTATATGCAGTGATGAAATGCGATATTGTTCAGTACCAGAAATTGGTGACAAAATGGCCACTTTGCATATAATCCACATACAATGGCTTTCAGTTTTTACTGGGAATATACAGGGTTAAAGTACTTAACTCAAAATTATTGCAACCTACGAGCTCGGTTACTGTTTGCCGACCTTTTGATCAATAAAGCATTCATTTACAAATGTTTCGGTAGCATATTTATTCCGATCGGGTACTCTCTCCTAGCGACCAAGTCGTGTTCAAGAAAATCACTTTTTGTTTTGAGATTTTTGACGCTGTTTGGTGACACAATCAACAGTTTATAATTAATCTATTTCACGAGTATGAAAGACTAGATCTTGAGCAATATTGCTTGGTGTTTTGCATGCGATTCAAAAAATATTTGAAATGTGTATATCTTTGCATGAAATAAAATATGCAGAATGCAGATTTGGGCTCATTAGCAGTGACTTTGTGTCATTTGCCTGCATATACTGAAATTCGTGACATGCAAGTTGCAGAACCAGAATACATGCACTCATGCAGGGCAGTCAGAACGTTTTCTAAAATGTCGCTAAATTGATATAAATTTTATCATTTTTCGCGCTTTTGTGCAGTGATAAAATTTCCTTAGAATAATCCCTGCATTCGCTCGGATATTCAATTCCCCAAACATATATATGTTAAGTATGTTATTATGCTACGTAAAATAAGCTTAAATTTAAGATAAAATTCAACCGCAGAGCTTCGGAAGACGCTTTAAAATGTTCTTTATAAAACTAAACTGCCGTTATCGATAAACATTGATTTTGAAATAAAAAATTTCAGATCCGCGAATTCAAACAACTTTGCTTTCATTTTTATTTAAAAATTTTAATATAATAAAAAGGCTAATCAATAAAGAAACACTGAAATGATATGCTGTCTTTTTATCTTAAAATATACGTAACGATCAGCTTTTAGGTAGGGGTAATTATTATTGGGTATGGGAGGTAGTTAAATGGTTGAGGAAGGGACGAAGTTTTACCCTTATAAATAGGAGGGGGGTCAAAAAACGTTTTAGCACAGAGAAGG